CCCTATGGCTTCGGTATTGGGATCCCCAAGATGGGGGTCCCCTTCATCAGCAACACTGCTTCACCATGCCCCCCGCATCAGAGGTGGAAAAGTCGACGACTGCATCGACTTCTAGGCCCACAGAGGCAGGTGACACGAGTGCCCACAGGGTTGCCCATCAGACTACCATGCAGGAGCTGGCATCAGTATGGGCAAGCCAGTATGAAGATGAGCCAATGGGGATGGACCCCATCTTGAGAGACTCATCATCATCATTCCCTGATGAGGCCTTTGGAGACCTGACTCCCTCATTCCCGGCAATGGATGCTCGGGCACATCAGGAACTGTTGAGGAGGCTGGCTATGAACCTGGCAGTGAGGGTAGAAGAAGTCCAACAAAGACAGACCCGATGGTGGACATCTTCTCTGCCGGTGCCCCTGGGAGGATAGCGTTGCCTCTTAACAGGATAATAGAGAAACTGTCAAAAACATTATGGCTGACTCCTGCCGCCATTCCTCCTACACAGAAAGGTGTGGAGAGGCATTATTTTGTTCCTGAAGTGGACCATGAATATCTCTTTTCACACCGTCCCCTGGGATCTATAGTGGTACAAGCAGTGGGACAGAGAGAGCACCAGTGTCCCCTGGGTCCCACTCCCAAAGCGAAAGAGCCCAAGAAGTTCGACCTGTTGGGCGGGAAAACATACACCACTGGGAAAACATACACCACCGGAGGATTATAACTGCGTATCGCTAGCCAACAGGCCATGCTGGTAAAGTATGCTTTTAATACGTGGGCAGCCATGGACAAATTCAAGGACTGGCTTCCTCAGGAGTCCCGCCAAGAATTTGAAGCCCTAACCGAGGAGGGCAAAACGGTGGCCCGTACGACCTTATAGGTGGCCCTCGATTCTGCAGACTCAGCGACCAGAACAATGGCTATGGCTGTTATAATGAGAAGTGCGTGGTTGCAGATATCGGGCATTCCCCCTGAAGTGCAAACCACATTGCAGGACCTTCTATTCGAGGGGGGAGAACTTTTCTCTGAACAAACGGACTCTAAGCTGCACAGTCTGAAGGACTCGAGAGTGACTGTAAAGTCCCTGGGGATTCATACGCCCGGGCCCTTAAGAAGACCACTGAACCCCCGACTGGCTTTGAGGCCATTCCTGTGAGGAATGGAGATTGGGGAAGGTGAAAGGGCCATGGGAACGGTCGGCATGATCAACCTCACAGTAGACGCAGGGCCTCCAGGTCCGAGCATGACGGGACCAACTACATCACAAGGACACCGGGTCCAAACCACCATTTTGAAGGCACGGTCAAGGACAGCGCACCACTCCAGCCCCTTTTTGTTTTCCGCCTCTCCCATTTCTACCAGGCCTGGTCAAGCATAACTTCGGATCAGTGGGTCCTGAGCCTGGTAGCGAAGGGATATTCTATCCCCTTTATGTCTACTCCCACCTTGCCCCTCCCCCTTTCCCTCTTCAGGGACCCATCTCACAAATTCCTGCTCAGGCAAGAGGTAACAAAACTCCTTCACCTCGGAGCAGTGGAATTGGTCCCTTCAGAGGCAGAGGCTTCTATTCCAGATATTTCCTAATCCCAAAAGCAAAGGGAGGTCTCTGTCCCACCCTAGACCTCAGAGCTCTAAACGCATTCATAAAGAAAACGAAATTCAGAATGCTCACCCTGTCCTCTATTATCCCTTCCCTCTAGAAGGGGGATTGGTATGCTGCCCTCAACTTAAAAGATGCCTACTTCCATGTCATCATTGCCCCAGTGCACAGAAGGTTCCTGAGATTCATCATGGGCACAGCTCTGCCCTTCGGTCTATCCACAGCACCAAGGGTATTCACAAAATACATGGCACCAGTTGTGGCTTTTATGAGGTGCCAGGGCATACACGTCTTTCCTTACCTGGATGACTGGCTGATACGGAGATCTTCCTGAGAGCAAGTGATGGGACACATTGCAAATACCAGAAGTCTGTTCCTCAAGCTGGGCCTCTTAATAAACGAAGAAAAATCCACCGCCATACCCATGCAAATAATAGAGTTTGTGGGAGCTCATTTAGATTCCACATTGGAGACGGCTTCTCTACCCAATCACAGATTCCAAACCCTGAGATCAATGATCATGGACCTTCACAAAGCACCTATAGCTACGACCCGCAACTGCATGCGACTTTTAGGCCATATGGCAGCTTGCACATATGTGGTGACCCACGCCAGACTCAGGCTTTGTCCACTGCAGAATTGGCTACGGTCGGTCCACAATCCGGTGCAGCACCCATTGGACGTGGTAGTCACGATCCCGGAAGGGGTACTTCTATCCTTAAACTGGTGGATGCAGGAAGACATAGTATGTGCAGGGGTACCTTTCACCAAACAAGTTCCATCAGTGCAACTGGTGACAGATGCGTTGGATGCCAGGTGGGAAGCCCACTTAGGGACTCTATGGATGCAGGGGTTATGGTCACCGACAGAGTTGAGGTTGCACATAAACATAAAAGAGCTCAGGGCTGTCAGATTAGCATGCCATGCCTTCCTGCCTTATCTGGAGAACAGAGTGGTGGAAGTGCTGACCAACAACACCACTGCCATGTTCTACATCGACAGGCTGGGGGACGATCGATCCTCCCCCCTGTGCAGGGAGGCCCTGCAGCTCTGGGAAATCTGTATCTGCGAGGCATCCAGCTGCAGGCGACTTACCTTCCTGGATCCAGCAACATTCTAGCAGACAAACTCAGTCGATCCTTTCAAGTCCACGAGTGGATGATCATAAGGGTTGTTTTAGAGGAAGTCTTCTAGAACTGGGGCTATCCCCTTCTGGACCTTTTCACCTCCAGGACCAATATCCAGTGGCAGGACTTCTGCTCATTCATGGGTCAAGGCGCGGGGTCTCTAGGGGATGCTCTCCACATAAACTGACCACCCCAGCTCCTGTATGCATTCCCTCCCTTTCTGCTGATACAGGACACCATTCTCAGGGTCAGACGGTTCAGAGCAACATGATCATGATAGCGCCGATGTGGCCAAGACTGGTTCTCCACCCTGTGGGAGTTGTCAATAGAGGAACCAGTATGCCTGCCTCTAGTCGTGAATCGAATTACACAAGACTTGGGGCAAGGAAGCTTATGCCATCCCAACCTGACAGCCCTCCATCTCGCAGCTTGGTTCCCGAGTGGCTCTCCGCACTAGAACGGGATTGTTCAGCGGAGGTCCAGAGAGTGTTACTGGAAGGTATGAAACCATCCACAAGGGCCATATATGAAGCTAAATGGAAGAAATTCACGGCGTGGACACTGAGAAGGGGAATCGAACCGACCGCGGCAGGTATTCCGCTGATATTGGACTATTTGTTATGTCTCAGGAATCAGGGCCTTGCTACTTCCTCTTTGAGGGTATACCTCGCACCAATCATGACCTTTCACCCAGGAGAGGGCAGGAGGTCAGTATTCACCAGTTACGTGGTAAAGAGATCCATGAAAGGGATTGACAGACCGTTACCATGTACATGCCCCCCGGTTCCACCATGGGACATTAATGTGGTCTCATGCAACCTCCATTTGAGCCTCTAGCCACTTGTTTGCTAAAACACCTATCATGGAAGGTAGTGTTCTTGATAGCAATAATTTCGGTTAGACGGGTATCAGAGCTCCGAGCGCTGACCTCAGAGCCACCGTTTACAGTCTTTTTCAAAGATAAAGTCCGACTACGACCTCACCCGGCCTTCCTTCCCAAAGTGCTATTCCACTTCCGTACATCCCAGGACATTTTCCTGCCTGTGTTTTTTTCCCTAAGCCTCATTCGTCACCTAGGGAGCAGACTTTGCACTGTCTAATGCCGTGGTCACCAACCAGTAGATCGTGATCTACCGGTAGATCTCAGGGGCGCTAAGAGTAGCTCTTGAGCTCTCTCTGAACTGCGCACCTGCGCAGTACATTTACATTAGATTTCCTCGTGAAATGTAGGCGGAGCTTCAAGGAAGGGGCGGGGCAGTAGACCTTCGCCTGTTCTGAGACTTGAAAAGTGATCTTGGGTTTAAAAAGGTTGGAAACCACTGGTCTAATGTGAGGAGGGCCATAGCTTTTTACGTAGAAAGGACAAAAGACTTTCGTAAATCTGTACAGCTTTTTATTTCCATCGCGGTATGAATGAAAGGATCCCCTATTTCGGCCCAGTGCCTATCATCATGGATTACCTCCTGTATTAGAGAATACTACCGGGGGCGGGTAAGAGCCCCCCCCCCTGCTGACCGCACATTCCACAACGGCGCAGGCGGCATCCATGGCGTTCTTGGCTCAGGTGCCAATCATTGACATCTGTAGGGCAGCCACATATCTTTTCAGAACATTATGCGATTACACAACATGCCAAGGAAGATGCATCAGTAGGCAGGGCAGTGTTGCAATCTGTGAACAAAGAGATGTTGTTACTCTCCGACCCCACCGCCTGGGATATGGCTTGGGAATCACCTGATTGGAATGGGGGGGGGAGGAGGAGGAGGAAGAGGAGGAGGAAGAAGAAGAAGAAGAAACAACAACTTGCCTTGTAACCGTTGTCCTTCGAGATGTGTTGCTCATGTCCCTTCCAAATCCCACCCACCTCCCCTTCGTCGGAGCTATTAGGCCAGAAGGAACTGAGGGGGCGAGGGGCCAGCAGGGGTATATATGCCCCGATATGCTGGCACCACGCCAGGGAGCTCCCTGGGCTGGCCCTACGGATGCTGCTGGGGAAAAGGCTCCGGAACTCGGAGCACACAGTGCGCACGCACCTGATTGGAATGGACTTGAGGAACACGTCTCGAAGAACAACAGTTACAAAGTAAGTAACCTTTTCTTCCCCATTCCAGGCACATTTTGGCTGATAATAGGACTGTAACATGTCTTAAAAAAAGAGCTTGCGGAGTTTATCTAAGTGGGGATTGTGCGCACATACGCTTGCAGTGTAAATGTTGCCTTACATTTGTAGCTATCTTTACAAGACATCTAGTAATTACTTCTATGTGTTTTGACAGGGAGTGACATACTGCGGTGAAAGCTCAGCCAGCAACTTAACCATGGCCAATGTTCCCTGGCACGAAGAGGTGGTGCGTTTTGTGCAGGAGTTGACGGACCTTATACCAGATTATGACATTGCATGTGAACATGAACATTCAAACTGCCTCCTGATCGCTCACAAAAAGGTAAGGCGTCTCTCTCCTGGTGTTTGAAAATAGAGGGCACAGACAGACTTGACTCTTTGCTTCCTAACAGCTGTGAGCTGCTCAGTGTGAGCACTTGTTCTAGTTCAGCAAGTTTTTCCTCCTAGGTTTGAAAAAATAACTTTTAAAAATACCCCTTAAAACATGTATCCCATGGAACCCAGTGGGTTAGCTTATAAGACGGTTATGGGTTCTGTGACTGCCTTTGTTTACAACCTGCAGTGCTGTCCTCAATGACACAAGCAAGATCTTGAAAAGATCAATCTTTTGGCTCTTTTCCGGAAAAGTGCGTCTACATTGGCCACAGACGCTTTTCCGGAAAAATGGCTTTTCCGGAAAAGCAGCCTGCCAATGTAGACGCTCCTTTTCCGGCAAAACTGAAAACGGAATAGTATTCCGTTTTAAGCATTTCCGGAAATTCATGCCAGTGTAGACACAGCCCATGTGTGTAACTATTTCACCTCCTCTTGCAAAAACATGTGTGATCAAAGACTCTCTCCTCCCACCCCACAGCGTGAAAAAAAAAGAAATTAAACACACTACACCTATGAAAAAGGCAGCCAACCTTAACGAAAAGTTACTGGTGCAAGACTGATCAGTGTTAATTTGACAAGCAACAGAACAGTTATGAAGACCCAAGTGGGGGGTGTGCCATAGGTTTGAGTGTTTAGTTTACTTTTTTTTTTAAAGTTAAGCTTCTTTGTTACTTCAGTATGTTTTTAAAAAAATTGTTCACAAGAACAAGTCTCCTTTTCCCCCCTTGAAAAAGAAATTGTTCTACATGAGAAACTTAATTGTGCTGTATTTGTAACACCTCAGGTGGATCGAAAACAAATGTGGCAAACACAACTGCATAATTAGTCACATAAATCTATCAAACTTTAAAATTATAGTTGAATACTAACAAATAGCTTACCTGGAAGAAAGCATGATAATTCGCTAGGAATTAAAGTCTCTCTCTCTCTCTCTGTCTTTTAATTTTTTGTTTTTTACTAAAATAATTTAAAAAAATCTCAGTGTGTTAAGAAATAAAACCCACAATGGGATTTTAAGCACCCTTTGTTTTCCTTTCTTTTAAACTTATTGTTTTTCTTCCTCCATTCACCATCTCAGCCAGCAGTCTCTCTACATTTAACCATGACAACAGGTAGTACTGACAAATGCAGAGATTTCCCTGGGTTAATTTTGAGGAATTCAGAAACAGGTGACTGTCTTAACCAAAGCAATTTTAAAAATCCTTTCTTTTCTAAAGCAGTTGTGTTCAGTCAGGAAAAGCGTAATGTATTGTATCTAGAAAAATGCATTGAATTTTGTGCACTAAAAAGTCATCCCCCCTTCTACACTTACATCCTTTCTCAGATGTCCAAGTCTCGTTGCGAAGAACATTGTTGTAATGTAGGAACACGGGAAGTAGCTTCCTTAGTCCAAAATGATTGCAACTTCTCATTGTCAAAACCAAGAAGAAAAGATGCAGTGATGTAATGGAGCCACTTCTTCCATCATTTAAATAACTTTAATACCCACACTCAGAAAGGTACGAGTGCTTTGAAAATAGATCGAGTCCTAAAAGCAGCTTAGCCCAACCCCACCCCTTTCACCACTGGTCAAGTAAGTTCATTCAAATCACACCAAATGCTTATTTGTCAGCAGCCACACCAATGTCCTGCTGCCCTTTCTTTTCTCCTGCTGGCAGTACCGTAACGCTGTCCTCTGTGTTCTCCTCTGGCTGTGCATCCGCACTGGTCCCGCACTTCCTTTCATTCAGGCCCATGCAGTGTTTCAGCACATGTCATTCCCACTCAGAGCCCTCTGGAAATGACCTCTTGCAAAACTCGCCCGGAAAACGATTCTCAGGAGCATCACTGTCAGGAGCATCATGGAATCTCTCTGCAGTCTTGGGGCTCATCTCCTCTTCCTTTTCTTCCTCAGCACTGCTAGAGTTCTGCATTGTTCCAGCTGATCCAAGTATGGCTAGGCTGCGGGGGGGTTTCGGGATATCTCCAGCATCCTGAAAAAAACTCTGCTGCATCCAGAGAACGCGTTTGCTCTTCCACTTTTTTTTTGCGGAAGAGCAAACGCACTCTTTTGGAAGCCCCTGTATTTCTTGTTCTATGAGGAAGAAGGGGGCTTTCAAAAGAGGATGGGTTTGGTTTTTTTTACATTTGGCCTAATCTAGATGGGCCAAATGTTAGAAAAGCTTCTTCCAACAAAAGTATCAGAAAAAGCTGTAGTCTAGCCATACACGTATGTACCTTTTTCAGACAAAACCTTGTAGTCTAGCCATACCCCTAGTGTCCTGCATGCACTGTGCCTAGCACAATGGCTCTGTTCCTCACTGCAGGCCTCTAGGCACTGTGAGAACACACACACAATAACAAATTAGTAGGAAGTTTCACAAAGTGCCGTATTCACATTTTTTAAAAAAAGGGCATGTGTGTGAGAAGGGGGAGGATAGGGTTAAAAGAAATCCGACAAGCTACTTTCTTGTCCTATAGCCTCATAGTATTTCCCTATTTTACAGTTCAAATCTTGTGTGGTGCAACTGGTAGCTATGCCAGAGTATATTCACAACAGAAGAGTCTTTTCCACTGCAAGGTGAAAGCCTCACTTAAGGGAAGGAAACAGCTATTCCCTGAGGTCACTGATAAATAATGTATGTAACCGGCCGTCCTCACTATAAGTCCAAGATACATTCCAAAAAACTTGGACTTATAGCAAAACAACTTGAAGTGGGGTAATTTTTTCCCACGGCTGACTTCCATTTGCACAAATTGGTTTTTTTTTAATCCGTGACTCAAGAGTGGGGAATGGAAGGACTTAAAACACAAGCATAATCCGTGACTTAAGAGTGGGGAATGGAAGGACTTAAAACACAAGCATCAGGGACCTTAGTGCGGAACGGATGTATACAAAGGCAACTTCTAGCAAGGATGCTCTGTAACACCATTATTAATAGTAACAAAAGATGAGAAATTCTACCGGTACCTTGCTTTCTATATGCATGAAGACAGGATGTCTCTTGTAAACAGTCAACTCACAGATGCTAAAATAATGAATAATAAGTAAATTTATTTCTACTTCTATTTAATTCTGGTTTTCAAGCTCTAGTAGAGGATAAAACATGTCAATGTTTTACTTATAGAAAACCAGACCTACGAGAGCCATTATGCTGCATAAAAAAAATGAGTGGAGAAAAAAGGCCGATAGCAAAAATAAGAATTTTCATTTGTTTCATTCTGTTTTTCAAGATAACGGTTTTAACGGAGAAAAAAGGCCGATAGTAAAAATAAGAATTTTCATTTTTCATTCTGTTTTTCAAGATAACGGTTTTAATTTAAAACCAACAAAACCCTTCATCAAAATGCCTGCATGCTCAAGGGAATGTAAAAATGGCAGCGTGAGAAGGCACTCACTTTTAATTAGGGGCAATGACAGCCATCTGCTTTAAGAATCACATAGGCTCCCAAGAGACCTTAGCAGTTTTGAAAATGTCACCCTAAGTCCCATTGTGAAAGGGTCTTAGGCACTTGGTTGACTGACTTATTGATAGTAAGTAGGATTTAGGAGCACAAGTGCTTTCTGAAAATGGGATTTAAGCATGTTACCCATTGGGCATAATGCAATTCCCATGGAAGCTGGCTGGAAAACTCCCACTGAAATAAATGGAAGTTGGATCTGGTCTTCAGTGTTGCATTAGACTATACAATTAAAAATACCTAATTAATAGGTCACTATACTGATATATGTACTATTTTGAGGTTGGTTTGATACTAACTGCTGTAGAGTAGCCATTGCTAGTGAGTGCCATTATATCTAGTGAAGGTAGTAGTAGTCCCCTTAGCGATCTATTCCTTGGTTGTGTTGTCCAGTGTGTGCCACTTCCAGAAAATATCCATCCCACACTCTTCTGTGTTCCAGCTCTGTCCTTTGCAGCACCCTCCTTTCCTAAACTGATGACTTCCACCACTTGGTGCTTGGTGCCCAGAATATTCCAGCTCTCCCTTTGACTATTTTTTCTCCAGCATAAGCTATTATATTCTCAAGTAATTGCATTTACTCTGTGGCAAATCCTACGAACACTCAAGTACAAAAATCTAATTTATTAAAGTGCTTTTGAATTAATTGGCGAAAATATTGAGACAATGGCAACTTTATAATTTAACAATTAATACTAATAACATTTACAGCAAGAGCTTAGGCATCTGGTTTTCCTTGCATTACAACAATAAATGGTATCCTTGAGACAATCAAAGTGAGTGATTAACAATGGAGAAAATCTGCAGATGCCTCGCAGCAAGTATCTTTTTGAATGAAAGTTACTATCTCAGTAATTTTTGGAATAAAAACATAATTTTTTTGCATCTGTTTTCCACTGGTATTGGCAGTGTATTCCATGATGTTGAAACCCTTGCTTGCCAATTACATTCTATTATATTTAACCTACCTTGTTTTTGTGATGGGTTTGTTTTCCATCAGTGCTGTCTCTGGCTTTACATTCATGGGTTTCTCATTAAGAACATAAGAATGGCTATACTGGGTCAGAACAATGGTCCATCTAGGTCAGTATCCTGTCTTCTGACAGTTGTCAATGCCAGGTGCCCCAGAGGAATGAACAGAGCAGGGAATCATCAAGTGACTCATCCCCTGTCACCTATTCTCAACTTCTGACAAAGAGAGGCTAGGGACACCATTCCTGCCCATCCTGGCCAATAGCCATTGATGGCCCTAACCTCCGTAAATTTATCTAACTCTCTTTTATTAAACCCTGATATAGTTTTGGACTTTACAATATCCTCTGGCAAGGAGTTTCACAGGTTGTGCGTTGTATGAAGAGGAGGTACTTCCTTTTGTTTCTTTTAAACCTGCTATCTATTAATTTCATTTGGTGACCCCTAGTTCCTGTGTCCTGGGAAGGAGTTAACACCTTTTTATTCACATTTTCCACTCCACTCATGATTTTATAGATTTCTATCATATCCTTC